TATATTGTATTGCTGAAAGCTTTGCATGTTAAATACGAAAAAAAGGGGGGGGGCGGTTAGGGTCGAGTGCTAGACAAAGGACCATCAGGTACTCACCCATTGCTGGGCATCCATCGCCGTCCGACATGGGGCTCTTCCTTTTCCTCGGCCGGCCCTTCTGCACGGCCCCGACTCCGTTGTAAAACGGTATGGGGCCCCCACTCCCCGGGCTGTGGGCGCCGTGCGGGCCCATGCCGGGGCTCATGCTGGGCAGGCTAAAGTCGCCCTGGAACATGAGCTCATAGTCCATCCGGCAGTAGATGAGGTTCTCCCGGAGGCCGTACTGCTCGCCGGACTTGAGCGTCCGGTTGCAGGCCGTGCAGGCAAAGCAGGTCAAGTGGAAGACCTGGTCCTTGGCCCTCATGATCAGTTCGTTGGCCGAGATTGGGGTCTGGCAGCGCGCGCAGTTCTTGACAGCGAATCGCCTGGAGAAAAGCAACACAAAAAAAACGAACAATAAAAAAATTAGATCCATTCGGAAGTGATCAAACCGCAAAAGAACCATTTTTTTCATTATTTCATTTGGATTTGTTAAAAATAGAAGATCAACTCTGCCCATTCAATAGAAATGTGTTCTATAGTTATCCAGATCATTAGCTTTATATGATAACTTTAACTGCACAGTTCTCTAGAAAAAAAAAACAAAAAAAAAAAAATAACATAAGATCAAATCTATCACATGCTTATAAAATTTCTACAAATAAATTAAAATATTGCTGGTCGCTTAAAAGTATGAAAAAAAGATGATCATTAGCTTTATATGATAACTTTAACTGCACAGTTCTCTAAAAAAAAAAAACAAAAAAAAAAAAAATAACATAAGATCAAATCTATCACATGCTTATCAACTTTCTACACATAAATTAAAATATTGCTGGTCGCTTGAAAGTATGAAAGAAAGATTTTTTTTTCTTCCTAAAATCTATCTTCCATGAAAGCATCCGGTAACTGAGATTGTAGGAAGTAGACATCTTGGGATGTCTGGCAAGACTTTTCCAAAACAGAATTCCATAAAGCCTCACGAACTGGACAAAACCAAAGACCAACAACATCAGCATTAACAGCAACAACAACAACAACATCACCATTAACAACAACAACAACAACATCAGCATTAACAACAACAACAACATCAGCATTAACAACAACAACAACATCAGCATTAACAACAACAACAACAACATCACCATTAACAACAACAACAACAACAACATCAGCATTAACAACAACAACAACATCAGCATTAACAACGACAACATCAGCATTAACAACAACAACAACAACATCAGCATTAACAACAACAACATCAGCATTAACAACAACAACAACATCAGCATTAACAACAACAACAACAACATCAGCAATAACAACAACAACAACAACAACAACATCAGCAATAACAACAACAACAACATCAGCATTAACAACAACAACAACAGCATCAACAACAACAACAACAACATCAACAACAACA